GCGGGGGCGCGGGGGGGGGAAAGGGGAGGGAATGGCGCTCCGTGATGGCAATAGCGGCAGCGCGTATTCCCACCGAAACACCCCACCTGTCCACCTGCAAATGTGTATCTCCAGAACCTTCATCTCTCAACCCCCCCACCTTCTAATATGTCACCCGTCTGGTGGGGGAGGGGGGAGGTCCAGGGTAATTACCTTACCTGGTAACTTCAAATCAGAAAGATCATCTTGGCCGTATCTGTAATTTATTTCCCCGCTCCTCTTTCTTCCCAACTAACACACAACCCCCGGACATACATACATGTGTACATGTACACACGTTCGACCCCTGCAGGGCGGTCTCCCGGGCTGTACGGCTGTCCGAGGTGGCGCCATGCGGCGAGGTGCTTTGCGACCGGGGCACTCAGAGGGGCATACTGCAGCTGCAACAGCTGCCACACCCGCTGGACAGGGTGCAGCAGCAGCAGGAGGAGGAGGAGGGCGAGGGGGAGGGGGAGGCGGAGGGGGCGCTGCCGCACTCAATTGTGGTTCCGATGGCCTCAGGAGGTGCTCAGTTGCCGTCCCGCTCCTCCCCGTATAGAACCCGTACCCCCACAACACCCAGTCTGAGCAGTCCTCTGGCCCAGCTACTATCACCATCACCACCACCGCCCTCGCCGCAGCAGGGGCAGCCACCACCTGACGCCACTCCCGGTGATGGTGGTGGTGGGGGTGGTGGGGATGATGATGTGGTGGTGGCGGAGCGGGTAGCGGCTCGGGAGCTGCAGCTGGTTCGCCTGGTCGCCAGATCCCGGCTGTCAGTGCGGGCCATGGACGAAGTCTTCGTGTGCCAGTGAGTGCGTGTGCGTGTGTGTTTCGCTCCTGTACGGGCGGCTTGTGGGACTGGGTCGGGGAGGGAGGGAGGGTGGGTGGTTAGGGAGGGTGGTTAGGAAGCCTGCGTGGAATGCGAAGAGGGGGCCACGCACCCCCTGTGTCCTGATTAGGACTCTGCGGCGCCGCCTCTCCCCATCCGGCCACACGGCCGCAACCATCGCCTCGGCAGCCAAGTTACAGTT